CAGCATGTGTGTGTATCTACTCGTAGAGAAGTCCAAAGGCTATTCCAGATTGAAAACTGAATAAATAAAACAAATTTGAAGATAGAAATTATCTTTTGCATTAGTGTTTTCTACGCACACCTGATGCGCTGTGCGTTGGGAGCCTCTGGCAGCCTTTCATACAGACTTGTGTTATCAGACAATATTAACAGTTTCTAAAAAGTATTTGAGAGAATGGTTTTTATGCGATCATGATACTGTACAACGTTCGCTCCATTCACGACAGAACCATCATGAGTAGCCAAGTTCTCAGCGGTGATTTTAAACCGGGAGGCGAAAAAAATGTTTGAACTACTGAATACAACACTGTAACAGACTTTGCTTGCCTCACTCCCTCCGAAGCCTGACAAGCATGCCCAATACTTTATCAACGTGACCAAGAGGAATTCAAGTGTTTGTGCAATAAATAACGCGGATGATGGCAAACATTTGCAACACTGAGTTATTGCCATTCGTGATGTTCGCGGGCGGGGACTTGGTGCCCCGGGAAGCCCTTCATTTCTCTAATTATTTGCGGACCATCACTTAGAATATTAACGAAAACTTCGAGTCAAACAGCTATGTATATTATTGTGCTGTTTCGATTGCTCACGTTCAAAGTACTGACACTTACAAATTGTCTGTTGTACGAACCTGAAAACCTATATATTTACTGTAGAATATCCCCATGTGGCTTTTGGTTATAACTGTCCGATCATGACGAGGATGGTACTTTATCTACAAAAAGTAAATACACCTATGAACAAAAAGGCAAATTAAATATTCAGAGGTAACAATAATAATCCCGAAATTCTGTTGAGATGGCTTACATGCACTAAGCTAAATGTTGTAATAAAGAGTACCAGAGTATTTCTCAAATGATTTAATTAAGCGTTTAAATTCGGACATTTGCCTATATATTTAATTCTTCAAATCCTATACTCGTTAATAAGTCGTGTAAATAATAGGTGTTAAAGTGAAATACATTGAGACTTACTGTGGATCGAGATAAATGCAGATATAGGGAGATGAAAGAGAAATTTATTACATTTGAAAATTTATCATAGCACCTCTTCCTTGCAAAGGAAATGCATCTTATTTGAGTTGTGATTGTTATAATTTTGAACTTTATTAATACTAACAGAGAAAGTATTGTGAATATTTTTGAATGCATTTGAATGATATATGTGATATTCAAATTGCAAAATCATGCAACTGTACATTGTACATATCGTTGTATAAGTAAACAAATTATTTAGTTATATCACACTGACGTGATACTTCTGTTAACAGGTTATTTCCCTAAGGTGTAACCTTATCCACATTATACAGTTGTTTAAAAACGCTTGTGCTAACATGATCTGGTTGTTAATGCATTCCTGCACGAATTGTTTGTAAATCTTTCATTGTGTGACATACATAGATATGAAATGCTTTTGAATAGATCCCTTAATTTTAATCGGAAAAGGTTAATTCCGGGAGCCAATTAATACACATCACATGTTCTATGTCAAAATCTGTTGCTCATGTTATGCATTAATTTTCGAAATTTGAGATTGAATTGTTATATCGACCTAGACTGCAGATTTAATTACCGTTAAGTGTTAGGTGTATTTACATCAGCATCAAGCATAATAACGATAAAGGCTTTATGTAACTAGTCATACTGTCAATAGTTTTAATGTCACACATCAATACAATAAAAATACGTGCTATGCAGTTTTAGATTTGTGAGGATGTGAAAATCATGCAAAAAATGTGTGCTGTGTTCTCCGTATATGAAATTCACATCAATGTTGAACCTGGATGATAATGACGGGTGTATTATCCGGATGTCATCTTCACACATATTTTATCAATTAGATAACCATGTGTTGCATGTTTCATGTATGCTTGTGAGGATATTCTATCGAGGTGAACACGTGAGATATGTAATCTGGATATTCGAAAGTTGATAGTAGATGATTTGAACACATAATACTTATTTGATCGTATTTCAATATGGCATCATGACTTCTGGTTCGTTAATTAATGAAATATACCTGAGTGATAACTCTGACAAATTTATGTACTTCTGTATCGCTGAAGGGGAAGATATTCACGTCTTTGTTGTGGAATTTCACAATCCCATCATTGCTTTAGGTCATAATGATCAACATTATGTGTATTGCTGTAATCTGGGATTTGTAATTTGACTTATAATCTAACTTGAGTTAGGTATGCCACACTTAATCTTGTATGTTTTTTGTAGTTTTGGATATTAAAATCCTTTGGTGGCAATATTCTACTTCCATTTGCTGTTAAGCTACCTCAGAGTCGACGGAACAAAGGAATATTTGTCTCAGTTATGCCTCATTGTTCATCATTTTTCTTTGATATGTTATGGGCACTGATAGTTCCTAACGTCATTCTTGGTAGGGCCTTGTTTTTTTGGTCATTTAGTTGACCTTTCGGCTCAGCAAGGAAATGGCTATTGGCTATGTCAACTGACCGAGACAAACAAAAGCACTTGGTACAACTGCGTTCGACTTTATATTCAGCCTATATGTCTATTTTACCATTTCCCTCGTGATTGTGTTTCAACATAGCTTTCCCGTTGAATAGTCTTAACACAACCAGTCCACCTTGTTTTGTAGGTTGGGAGATATGAATTGTATACCTACTCTGAATTGTATATCTATTCACATATCACCAACATACAACAGAGTTGAAGTGTGACGTTTGCCAAGTAATGTTGCCAAGAGTACATATCGCATAAGTAATTAAAACATCACATATGGAAAAGTGAAAGAGGACATTTGAGATCTTGGGAGCGGTCAAATTTTAACATATCGCACGAGTTTTGAGCTTCACCAATCTTCTCCAGTTTTACAAATATCACACATGTGTTATATCATATCTAGCCTGGATCAAGTTTGAAATTAAAAATGTGTCCGTACCTCTGGTCACGCGCTGAATCAAAGATCAAACTAATTTGATCAGCTTATAGGTACAAGGTTTCGATAAATAGTATACGTTCTGTAGGTGTCATCGTACCGAAGTAGTAGTGTACCTCTGAATTTTATCATATAGTGCCAGTGGGTCTATACAATAAATTGTAGTAAACCGGCCAATCTGAAAGAGCAAATTTCAACAAAGGCAATTATAAGTACTTCTTGGATTCAAAACTATTTTATTACGTGTCTTCTAACGTCACATTTTTTAAAGATAACTTGAATCTTTAATATTGCATGACATTTGGGTTCCATGAGCAACAAGGTCTAACGTTAATTAACAATAAAATACCATACTTCTGAATCTATTTATATCAGCCCCCTGTGCAAGTTGAAGGAACCACACCTGGGTGATCGTTGTACATACATTGATACTTGTACTGGTTTTTATCCAGTTCCACATTGTTTCATATTTGGTATGGCTATCCTTTTGCTCGTTGTAGGTCTTATGGTCATGAAAGGGACCAGACACAAGGGTCAGAGTTCAGCATAAGATATTGTGGAAATGGCTATCCGGAATATATCATAACGAATATGCGCTAGTGAATACCTCCATCTACTATTCAATGCGACAGTGTAATTAGGTTGTGGAGTGAAAGTATATTCACAAGACTATCCAATCGTCCCTTACCAATTTCAAGTTGAGGGTGTGTTTGTTGCAAACCGTTTGATCGGGTAAGTCTTGGTGTTTTTGGGGTCTTTCGATTACGAATCAGCTAAGACCATTTAAAGTCTTCGTCAACGGATGACACTCACTCCGGCCTAATTCTAATGACAACAGCGAGGTATTGCCAATGCATCAGGGGAATTGATAGAACTAGACTAAGAGATGAGGACTTCTCGCATTCGTGTCTCAATGAACATGTTGATGGCAAACAAAGACACATCCACATTTCTACAGGGTTAAGTTTGATTTTGTTTTGTTTTGCGTAACGTCCTATTCCACACAAGTCGTATACAGAGCATATGAGCAGGTATATTCTCGTCTAAATATCCGATCCGCAGGGGTTTATATGACAGCATAGACTAAAGAGAAAATATGAAATACTTTCAAAAAGAGGAATAAGCGAAATTGTGTGAGGTGTTGTAAATGTGAACACTAGTTTATACACATATATTTAAGATATGCTTGCTGTGTCTTCGATCGTTCCTGACGAAAATGCTTTCCTGGACGTTACGGGAGACACAATTGCCGGTGTAACATCCTGCTAAAACCTACATAGGTTATTGGTACTCTTAGTATGTATTGCAGTTTTTGTTGGTTTTGTTTCATCCTCACTTCCGGTTGTTTTTCGTTGATATCGCTTTCTGCCTACAACGCGTACATATATCTTTATTAAAGCCAGTATATCTGTTTTCCGTTCAACTTAGCTGTATTCAACATATGTTCGTAATCTTTTACAGTTTTGTAGTCAATGCCTGTTAAGGATATAGTTATTCAAATGTGTTTTCATTAGATGTATTTCCTAAAACTTCGTTAATCCATCTCGATGTACCATGAATCCATTTTTGAAATGTTGTTTTACCAGACACAAGGCCATAGAACGACGATCATGTAGATTGAACGTGTCGGTTTTAGACGACTGAGCATGGATGCTAAGTTGTCCTAATCGTCTGGGGAATGGAACTCCCGTGATAATTTCCCTTTTCATTAACTAAATAATGTTTTGTATTAGGTATGCTTGATTGAATACACCAATCAGGGTTTGCGACTGTTAATCATTTCAGCATACATATGGATCATTCCAGTATCTCATGTCCCAGTAGAACCATAGTAAAATATTCCGTGTGTCGTCGTGGTCCAATACTGTATCCCTGAACGTACCGTGGCGTAGCGTCCCGCCCGTCTGTACCGAACCGAAGGGATATATTCATCATATTCCTGGAAACTTCTGTCTGTCAAACCCGAATTATAGTCGTGCCAAAACCAAGCTACGATTCTATTGGCTGTTGAACATGATTAGTAGCTCGTGCAGGGCTCGTGTCGATAGCCGCCAAACTGATCGCGGGTTCAGCATCCCATACCACAACGATACTAGATCGATATAATGTTGTTATGATTTTGAATAAAGCAGGAGTGTTTAGTGTAAATGTGATGAACCAGCGGTGTGTTTGTGAATGAAGCTGATACTTAAGCCACTACCTGGCGTTTGACCCTACATCAATCACACTTCGCCATAGATCAATTGGCTTCCGACGGCACTAGAGGCTGTGCTCTTGTATACAGTAGACTCGCACACAGCTGCCGTAGCAGTACCTATACCCGGACGTATATATTAACAGTACGACCACGAGTAACATCGGGTTCGAAAAAATTGACCCAACTTTCTTCATACAAGTTGTGTGGTATGTGCTCTATTGTTTTGTGATGTGATATCAGTTGTTGAGGCGACACCAAGACGACGAGAACGGAGTAACACACTTGCGTGATTCATAAACTACGCTAACCTGGGTGTGACAATACTAACCTAACTTTGGAGTATAGTAGGTGTACCTGTTACCTTGGTTATAGTTTACATGCGCGTTCTAGGTGTCCTTGACGGCATATTTTACCACTGAATTGTGAATGAATCGTATTTAAAGGAGTGTTCTTGCAAATTGCTTTTCAGTTAAATAGGATTAATTAAAACATTGAACTCTGGACTTTAATCTCAGAGGATTACGTTACAGGTAAGTCTACAAACTTCATCACTTCCTAAATTATTTTTGGTAAAGAAAGTTGCGAGATAATAAAGAACAGACTATTTAAAGTTGTGTTCAACAGTAAATGGGTAAAATATCGTACTAGAAAACGGGATATTATAAAATGTTTGGTTGTAAATAGGAATATTTCGGGGAAAAAAGGAATGGGTTTTTGTTTAATAAAACGGAAAAGACGACAACTTTTAGCCACCATTAAGCCGTAAAATTGTGTCAGAATCTAGAGAACTGTTTAAATAACAGTGGAGCATCCATGGTTTACTTCCCTGCAACTTTGATGTCTATGCTATCTCGTCTAACTAAATCAGAATACCAATGTCTGGTTTAATATGGAGTCACTCGCAGAGAAAGCGATAATAAAGCCTTATCAAAATTTTGAACAGAAATCGATTTTTGTATTACAAATTTGTTTAGTCATCAGGAAGTGTTATTAGTTGAATTACAATTAGTTTGCTCTCGAACGGATTTAAGAAATGTGAGATTTATGCATACATGATGCAAAGAAAACGCGTTTTGCTGAATAGAACTTCCTGCAATTAAATATTGCGTCACAAACCATCTTGCGTGTGACTTTCATAGAGATTGAAATATTTCAATGTTAAAAAAATGAAGATCGTCTGTACATTAATTTAAACTTGTAACTTATTGTATGATGGTAGTTATATGATTCGGACAACTGAAACATACCAGTGAGGACATTCTGGTTATATAAGAGCTTTTGTTAATCCTGTGATTCCCTTTTTTCATAATGAACAAAACCAACAATTTGTATTAGATGATTAAAAAACAAATGCTCCTGTTACTCTGTGATTGAACATGGTTCTGGTATAATTATAAAATCTAACGTTAACAAGCTATTTTCCCGACGGCAAACATTGTACAAAGTGGTGAATATTGTTTTAAAACGCGTGAATTGTAATTAAACTCGGTAAACGAGATACCACGTCTGTTATTGTAATTTATGACAAGCCTCACAAAAGCAAATCATTGGAAGAAAAAGTCATTTCATATGCCATCGTGTGCCATGCGAGCAAGGCGCGCTACGTTCCGGCCGGGATAACGTGTGGTGGCCAAGATAGGGAGCGATCATTAATTGTAAGCAGACGACGGTGATGGCCAAGGCTGATCACTATAGGTACACATCGTGGTTATGAGTTTTTAATGACCTGTGTACGGCGGTAAACTTAGTTCGCTAGTGTAGGGTGTTGATAGACACGTTTTCACTTTAAATGTGACTACTGTTTAGTACACCCAGCTCGTAAATACGGACAGTGTCCTGATCTGATCTGGTATCCAACAAATGCATGAAACTTATATAGGACATTTCAATGAAAACAAAATATATAGGCATATCAGTATATATGTCAATGGCGTATCGAAACACCGGGTCTATTCCACACGTACTCAAAACAAATACATATTTCACAGCGGGAATGCAAGAAAAAGAGAAAAAGTGGTTATTCCTGTTGCCGGTTTATGTGACGACATCACAATAAACAAGTTCCTACATTCCACACGATGTAGGTGAGCTTCGTCATATATATGTTGCAATGTGCGACTTTTGTCGAGGAAATAATGAACTCTAAATCTGTCGAATAGCTAGTCACTTTAACACCCGTGCAAAGTATCCCAAAACTTGTCTTAATAGACGTTTATCTAATTTGTCGATATTTTCCCGATTCTTTGTAGGTTTTGCCTAATTTTTACCATGTGTAGACAGCATACTTTCTTCACCTATAACACCAAACATACATGCACCGACATAACTATATGCTAAAACGAGAAATTACAGAGACACGATTGCGCTTCCTTCAATGAGTTATTCAATTTCTGCAAATTGCTCCTCATATTTGTGTCGAGTGTGTTATACCGTTAGTTCAACGAACATTTATATTTGCAGGCATAACGAGTCTGACTTTTTATTTGTCAGGTAACTTTAAGAAAGATTTGTCCGCGTAATTGCAAGACTAAAACTGATCAGGTACAAGGACTGGGGAAACCCGTCAAACCATTCTTTGCGCTACAATAAATCGCGTACTGCAATTGTGATCATGCTTGTTTCCGCAGGTTTTAGTGTTATTGCATTCTAACTCATTATATCAATAGGACGAGGGCCATTTGTAACGGTTGTTGATACTTGTAGTGTTAATACACTTGTAAAGCTACATCAGGCACAACTCTACCGTGGACAATAGCTCAGGATGAACGGCCTGGCTATCACCCGGAACGGTATTTTTTTGTGGTACGCAAGTAATTATAAAATATTTAACAAACACATTTCTTTAAACTGAATATTCGTAACATGGTATAGCACGTGTAGTCTCGATAGTATTAATGTTGATTTATAGTAGAACAAATAACTCTCCTGTACCTTCTCTTATAAAACACCAACACGTCTGATCTCGATAAAGAGAGGAAACGGGGCAAAGAAACATCGTGTAGGAGTGAACCACAATATGCGCTATGTAATGCATGGGAAACATACAATATCTAGACATACATATATGCGTAGAAACACTGTTTTGCGCATACATGGAAATGTACTTCTGCATAAATATACACGAGACTTCGTCTTTCATGGATTTATTGCAAGGATTATTAAAAGTAATACAATGTACTGTTCGTTAAGATTTAAATCGTTATGTTGTAGATAAAATAGCTGTAATTGTTTGGAATGTAACACAATAAATGTTGTGCATATTGTTAAACAGTGTTGTAACATTGTAATATGTGTATATGAAACAAATACATCGTATAAATAAGTACAATCACTCTTTCGTTCAAGGGTGTACAACGATGATGTGTCGCGCACGGATAGAAACAACGCATCGTGCACGGGTTTGAGCAATACAAAATATTAGCATTAAAACTCAAAAGTGTCCCGCCAAGGTATAAACTACATCGTGTATTGGTATAAAACCATATGTCTTACACGAATAAAACAAACATACATCTTGTATGGAACCTTTATCGATATAAAATAAATACGCCATACAATGTTATGGTAAAGACATCACCATGTACAGATTTTTATAAAACCGTCATCGGTTATAGATATAAACATGGCGTCGTGTTTGAGTAAGCAAATATATCGTGCCCGGGATTAAACAGTGTGACTTGTACAGGTATAAGCTATGCATCGAATACATTGTGTATGGATGTTAACTTGATGTCGTACACTGGGTCTAATAAAAAAACATGTACCCGCACAAAAGTGTAAAATAATGTGACATACATTCCAACTACACTAAAGGCAATGGTCGTACAGGATATAGACAGCAATGAAATCTGCATTACTACAGAGTACAGGTACGTTGTATAAACGATTAGTAGTGAACAAGATACACAAAATATCTCGTGCCTTGTGTTAAAACAATTCTTTGCATTGATTACCGATTTTTCATTTGCAGATTCTCGAATGAGAATATTTAAAGATACTTCGCTGAATAAAGGATCACTTTTTACATGGTTTTGTAAATGCGTTTAACGATATTGAAATTGTCATTGTTAAACACTAGGACTCATAGAACAGTTTAAATAATTGAATTTTCTCTTTTTTAACTTCAAATAAAAAAGAAAGTTTAATCTCTGGGGAAATTAATTGTAGTGTTCGAGGTTTGAATAAAATATTTCAAGAAAAAGTCATTTTATTTCATTTGATAATTTGTAAGTAGGCCACAAACCGATATGAAGTAAAACTGATCCTACTTGGTGATAAAATGATAAGAAAATGGCTTCGTTTATGCACTAATTTAACAAGAAAAGCTGCATTTCTCTGCCTGTAACATATAATTCTTTAAACAGCATGACCAGGCCCCGGGATGAGGATGCAATCTAAGGCTTAAGTGTTTGCTAAGTCATGACTGTATGGTGTCACTTTTCATGACGTTATTCGTGATTGGTCAAGTCAAAACTTAAGACACATTTTAGACTTAAGATTGTTTCATGATCTCGGGGGCAGGTGAATGGATCCAAACCATTGTCCCTATATACATAAATGAACAATAGTCAGTTATAACAAAAAAGACGTGTATATTCGTTATCTTTGATCAATACACTCGTATAGTTGATTTACTAAAACATACAAAATATGTTCAAATTTTTAATTAACAAAAATCACTTTTCCACTAAAATTGTTGGGGTTTTTTGTTCATTTTGTCACATCTAAAATCATAAGAAGCTATTGTTTTTTTCAATACAGCATTCACAGTTCACAATATCCAATTATGACGTTAGATCGCACCAGACAGAATTGAACTTTATTGCAACTTAGACCATACACTTTATCGATTTTGTACATTATATGTGGTGAAACATATGATGATATACGGACTTAGCTGGAAATCGTAAAGGGTTAACGGTTTTTGTTTGTATAGGTAAGGTCAAACAAAGACGGGATTTCTTGCTTAGTGAACATTGAACAAACACAATTGATCTTTAGGAATCTATATAGTTTAACTGTCTCTATGACCTAAGCTGCTTTTTGGTTACGACTGATACAGTAGGGGGCCACATCAGCCGCAATTTACGACGGCATTCAGTGGGGTACAGCAGCGGTATTCTTTTTTCCGAACTTGCTGACTTGCAAAATCACATGCAGATAGTACGATTAGGAGTGTGAATATAAACGAATTTATGTTAGGTTGTATGAAATAGCGATTTTATTACCGTTCTGAAAAAGTCACAGCATTGAAACTCTACAACATATTCGGTACTCGAAACCGATATTCAACAACAGCCTTCTTACAGAATCAAAAACGAGCAGAGCGTATCAGGAATTTAAACAAAAATTGGACGGTTTTCCGGTTTTTGACTTGACCCGCAAATGGCATCCGTCGTGATTTCTCCCGTTAAATCCAATAAATGACGCAGGTCACCAAGTCACAGTGGAAAGGTATCTTACCATGTCGGACAATATAACTTTAATTTGGTGGACTCCAAACATAACCAATCTTTGTTATGCATGTGTC